CCTTTGTTCAATTTTTCGATTGTCCTCTTCAATCCTCAAGCGCACAATCGATTTTTTCAAGTTGCGTTTGTGTTTGAGGTCATTTTTGAAATATCTCCACATAGGGGGGAGTTTCTCAATAATGACAGCTCATTGGAATGATTCACTCAATTCCATTTTCTCCGCATGGATGTCGTGCAACAAGACTTGAATCTCTTGCACTTGGCTAATTATGATTTTGGAATCCATTATCTTGTAGTCCAAAAATTTGCCGACAATGAACTTCTTTGTTCCGACATCCCCGGTATTGTACTTTACCTCCAAAGAATCTCATAGTTCCTTGGCTAATTCCTTTGAACTATATACCCCATATAGTGTATTATCCAATCCATTTAGGATATAGCTCTTGCATAGGAAGTCCAAGTGTTTCCATGCATTCAAAGCGATAATCGATTCACGATTATTTTCCCCTTCTTGTACAGTCGGTTTAGTTTCCTTTAGAAATTTAGCTAAATTAAGAGTGGTAAAATAAAATAACATCTTTTATTGCCACCTCTTGAAGTCAACTCCTGCAAATTTTTTCGACTTTTTCTCATGTAGGATAGTAGTATTATGCAACGGTATGGTCACGGGTGGTACCACATTATTGAAACGATTTTGACTTGACGAAGTCCTAATGGTAATCATTTCTGTTACACAAACAAAAGTTCAACGAAATGATGATAATAGCGGTGGAGGAATAGTACACAAAGTACTTATTCAAACAAAGTAATGGACGTCCACAACCAACCACAAAGACACAAAAATTTGTCTTAAGTTTGTTGGAGATGATTTATAAAAAGGGTTATGTAAGGGTTGATTTTTTATATATTTATTTGACCAGTTTTAATCCGCAAGAGCATGATCAAAACAAAATTTATATGAATGGAAATTTGGATAGAGTTTCGGTATAATGANAGGAGGGAGAGAGAAGGGGAATACAGCGGAGATAAACCCCAGTAAGTATTCACATATATAAATCTACAACCCCCGATAAAAAAAAAATAAAAATTAAAAAATTACTATTGTCAAATTCTTCCACGCCACAAATTGCTTTTTTTAATTATCATGAACGAAAAAATGTCCTCAAAATTGACCAAATAGATTAATTTAATATAAACGTGAAAAAAAGTTCAAACATCTCACCTAAATAGGGTCCATAAACGTGAGTAATAGCGTTATTCGTGTCTTGATATCTTATTAAGGTTGCGTTTGATTGTAAATGTG